GTTCTCTCAAATTCTAACCTTCTGAATTCCTCATCATCTCTATCTTTCTCCTTCCAAATTTTTCTCACTGAATCATACTTCTCGAATCATATCTTCGTTCCCTAATCTTCTGCATTACTGCTAATACTTCTACTATCACTATCACTCTTGGATTTGAACTGACAATTACGTCTCTGTGTGCTGATGTGGTATGACAACCTGAACTGATGTACTTATCTACGAAGTTCTTTGTTGTATGTGTCTGTTTGTCATCAGGGGCTACACATTTCCACACAGAAGCATACACAAAGTGACACACATGTATTTTACCGGGTCACAATACACTGAACCAGATCGACAATATTTACATCAATAAAAAGTTCAAAAGAACCATGGAGGATGTGAGAACCAAGAGAGGAGCTGATATAGACTCAGACCGTTATTTGCTGATCGCTAAGATGAAGCTGAAGCTCAAGAAGCGCTGTATTATGTTCGTCACTAAGTATGCTTGAGGCTATTACGAGTTTACCTTAGTCGATGAACGCGAACGAGACAGTTACCAGCGTCCATGTAGGCTACCCTGAATCCCTAAATAAGGTAAGAAGGCTTTGTAAGCGTAGAAAGTATATTCTACAAACACATAGAAATCACAGTACAATCAAGCACACAACTCTCGTTTATTTATACATCATAGAAACGTCCTTGGGACAGTCACAAAAATATCACACTAAAATACACAGCAGCCAATCACAGCCATGGATTTTCCTGGTGGGAATTGAAAACTCAAGGTCAACGGATTAGCCCATGTTGGCAAACGTGAAAACCAAAATAAGGCATTATCAAGCGAATTTTGGGGAACTAACATCCCCAACACACTGGAAATGTGGTCGAACATCATCACAAAAGTATAATACGACCTTTCTTCGGGATACTGGAAAGCTCAAGGATTTCAAAATAGCTCTGAGAAATATATACATACTTCTTACTTACTTACACCTATTACCCACAATGGAGTATAGGCCACCGACCAGCATTCTACAACCTATTCTGTCTTGAGCCTTCCTTTCTAGTTCTTCCCAACTGCTGTTCATTCCTCTCATGTCTGTCTCCATTTCTTGGCATAATGTGTTCCTTATCCTTCCTCGTTCCCTTCAGCCTTGAGGATTTCAAGTGATGGCTTGTCTTGTGACGCATTTACGTACTCTCCTCAATGTGTGTCCTATCCACTTCCAGCGCTTCTTTCTGTTGGAATTTGGTTAGTTCTCTTCCACACAGTAGGTTGTTGTTGATGGTAACTGGCCAATGGAAATATATACATACACTAGTTATAGTTTGAAGTGTATCACTTAAGTATACACGTAACTGTTACATTCCATTTAGTAAATAAATCTAGGGATTAATGAATAAAACAACTATTTTGTGTCATTAAAATAACTGAACAAAGAAATTTCAATCAAAGAAAATTTTAGGTCATCCATCTATTGATATACAAAACCGATCGATATTTTCTTCACAATCATAAAACTTTAATAAGGTGTGTGTGCGTGTGTGCATATATGTGATTACTTTACTTACGCTTGTGTTATCTCCCTCATAGACTGCCGATTAGCTATTTTCTAGTTAACACTCTTCATCTGAACTGTACTTTCCAAATTGTTTTAAATTTCGATTCATTCAATTGATGTCTGCCTCAATTCTTCAGTGGTGTAATGTATCTTTTATTCAGTATGTGTCTCAACTCAACAGATTTCCATTTACACATTTTTGAAATCATCAATCAATCACTGTTGTTAGACCACCATTAGAAACCTGGAAGCACTGGACGGCCGTTTCGTCCTGGTATGGGACTAGTCATCAGTGGCAATGCGCATCCACGACTCCTGGCACCTCGCAGTATTCGAACCCCTGGACCATCGGTATTGTGCGCGAAGGTCCCGGGTGCACGGAGAACAGCTGACAAACTCGTTCGAGGTGAAAACCGCTGTCAGGCAAGGTTGCTTACTACTATCACTCATTCTGTTGTTGATGTTTTTGACACGAAGTATTCCTTTACAAGTCGTCGAAATAATATTTCAGTCACTAAAACATTTCGTTCTCCTCATGTTCGAAACCTACCTACAAGCAAGTATTGTTTGTAGTTTCCAAAAAGGCACATTCAAACTGGTCATATGCGCGTATAGAGACAAATTAAAATCCGTCTTTATTATCATTCACAATGAATGTCACTTCTTTTGTACAAATCAATCACTTTTTATTATGTGGTGATTTAAAATGTAAAACATTTCTCAAGTTCGCGCATAATACCGAAGGTCTTGGGTTCAAATCCTGCGAGGTGCAGGAATCGTGGATACACACTGCAACTGATGAATCTCATACCAGGACGAAACGGCCGTCTTTCAATGCTTCCAGGTTTCTGCTAATGATGGTCTAACAACAATGATTGATTGATTGATGATTTCAAATGCGTAAAAACACAAACCTCCAAAACTCTGTCTTATTTTTGTATGACTATAAATTCCTAGTCATGTGAACATGACAGTTATTGTCATTAAGTAACTCAACAATGTATGTATGATACTTTGAATGTTTATTGAAGGTATTGATCTAGCATTGATCAATTCATAATTTCAATCAAAATCTCAACAATCTTTACAAACCTTTAATCACAATTATCATATGCTCATTAGTGCGTAGATATATGTACGAGAATTCCAGGAGTTGTAGTGAGAAGCCGTGATCAGTGTAGTTTAACTGTGCGTAGAGTGTGAGGCAGTTGTTACTCATGGGAGACAATGGATAAGGTTGTGCAATATCGTGGAATAATTCAAATTGGGCATTAATACTGTTGTTAGATGACGGTCCAATAGTCTAGAGGTTAAACGGTAGAACGCAAGATCGAAGGTCCTAGGTTCGATTCATGCTAGTCAAGTTTTGGATTCACACTGTTCATAAATCCTATACTAAGGGGGAAACTGCTTTCAAGTGCTTTTAGTTTCTTAGTGGTGATCTAAGACTGATTGACTCGGGATTTCACTGAAACTCAACAATCGATCAAAGTTGATCGATTGAATTGTGATGTGATAATCGTTAGTTTAAATCACACCATATTACATGACCTATTTTAAATATGAAATGTTTAGAGATTTCTCTGAGTGAATTATTAAATGTCAAATGTATCTAACTAAGTAAATGAATCATGGTTTTTTTTACTTACGGAATGTGTTGAGTAATGGAACTTGAGAAATGTTTTTCAATTTTAAATCACCACATAAAAAAAACTGATTGATTTGTACAATAGTAGAAGTGATATTCATTATATAAAATGATAATAAAGCGGGATTTTAATTTGTCTCTGTACGCGTATATGACCACATTGAACGTATGTGTGTGTCATTATGGAAACTACAAACATTACTTGTTTGGTAGGTAGGTTTCGAACATGCAGCCTCTGCAGCAGCAGGTCTCAACATACATAAAGTAAAAAGCGAAATTCTCCGATGCAACACACCATACACCAACCAAATCACTCTTGATGGAGATGCCTTGGAGGACGTTAACACCTTCACATATCTGGGCAGCATCATCGATGAGAAAGGTGGATCCGATGCAGATATGAGGGCGCGGAGTGGCAAAGCAAGGGCTGCATTTCTACAGTTGAAAAATATCTGGAACTCCAAACAACTTTCAAACAAAACCAAAATCAGGATTTTAAATACAAATGTGAAGACAGTTCTACTGTGTGGAGCGGAAACATGGAGAACTACGAAAGGCATCATCCAGAAGATACAGGTGTTCATTAACAGTTTTCTACGCAAAATACTTTACATTCGTTTGCCAAATACTATAAGCATTAACCTACTGTGTGAGAGAACAAACCAGATTCCAGTGGAGGAGGAAGTCGGGAAGAAGCGCTGGAGTTGGTGGATAGGACACACACTACGAAAAGCACCAAACTGCGTCACAAGACAAGTCCTCACATGGAACCCTCAAGGCAAAAGGAAAACAGGAAGGCCAAGGAACACATTACTCCGAAAAATAGAGAAAGATATGATAAGATTGAACAAAAATTGGACGGACCTGGAAAAGGAAGCCCAGGACAGAGTTGGTTGGAGAAAACTGGTTGGCGGCCTATGCCCCATTGGGGGTAACAGGGCTAAGTAAGTAAGTAAGTAAGGTTTCGAACATGAGGAGAACAAAAATTTTTAGTGACTGAAATATTATTTCGACGGCTTGTAAAGGAATGCTTCGTGTCAAAAACTGACACTTACAAGAGAACAACTAGAGAGAGAAAGATCGAGAAAGAGTATTAGTGGGTGTTTTATCTTAGCCGCGAGAATTTTCATTGGTACACATCTTCGATCACATTACTTACTAACTTACTTACTTACTTTCACCTGTTACCCTCAACAGAGCATAGGCCGCCGGTCAGTTTTATCCAACCTACACTGTCCTGGACTTCCCCTTCCACATCTGTCCAATTTTTGTTCATTCTTCCCATATCTTTCTCTATTTCTCGACGTAAT